GTTTCTGATTTTGCTTCCAACATGTAAGCTCTTTTTTTTTTTTTTTTTTTGCAATAATTTGTTCTTAAAGCTTTGTAAAACACATATTCTACAGTGGTGATTTCAACCAGGAGGAATTAATGTTGTGTTTTCTTTTTTTTCTTTTTTTTTTCTTTTTAATTTCAATAAAATATCATCATTAGCATTTGTGTTTTGGCTGTTTTTTTTCATAATAAATGCAACTTCTTTTATAAAATGATTCTAATTGTTTAATATTAAAAATGAAGCCTCAAGTAAGAGGACTTTAATAGTGAGATTGTAGCTACTTTAAGTTACATTGCAAATAACAGATTTACTTTCGTTAATCCTGAATAATAATGTTGGGGCTTTACTGGTTTTCCTGACCTAACGCTTATTGGGGGTCCAATTGCAATGCATATCTAACCAAATCAGTTTAGAACCATTTTAGAACAAATGGCGTTTCAAGGCACTTCACAGAGTTATTTCACTCTAATCATACAGACAGACAAAGGTTTTCTAAGTGTGGCAAGGTGCACAACAGAGGGCCATTTTGGGATTCGGACCCGCAAGGGCCCTGAGCGATCACCATGCACACTGACTAGTCAGGCAAAGGGATATAAACCCCCTGGCCAAGTAGCCTGGCCACATGATAACTTGGAGGCATGCAGGTGGTGACAGTGAGGAGAAAAACTCCCTTTTAACAGGAGGAAGCCTCCAGCAGAACATGGCTTAATGTTAGCAGCCATCTGCCAGAACCAACAGGGAGGTTGAGAAGACAGTACAGAGTCAAACACACTAAAACAGCACAGAAGAACCAGGAATACTTTAGGTAAGAGAAAATAGTAAAACATTAACTGTAATAGTATTGTAGCTCCTGATGTAGCTTCATCTAGGTGATAAAAACGGCTAAGCAGATAAACTAAGGCAGAAATCTAGTCTATGATCTACACAATAGGTCCTCAGCAACACAGCCAATAATCCTCTGCAGGAAGGATTCACAAATGAACAGAAAGCTAGGAGAGATGTAGCTTCTGTGGAGAGAGAGAAAATAAAACTAAATCAGAGTTTAAGGTGAGGTCACATAGATCTGTATTCTGACATCATGTTGTGTTTCCCCCCAAACTCTCCACTGTTTAAAACAGGACTGCTGGATCAGAGCTGCCTAAACTATAAAAAAGATAACTTACATGAATAAACTGTTCAAGCTGAATCCATTTACACAGACTGGGACTTTCTCTTACTATTTGCAACTAGTAATTAGTTAAACAAAAAAAAGAGTGAAAGTATTTAGTGGCACTTTTTAATAATATCTTAAATTGTCATAACTTGCAGTAACTATATTATTGAGATCTGAAATTAGAGTTCATCCTTGCCAGAATTCATTTTTAGATAGGAAGAATGTTTATTTTACATATTTGTGAGTAAAATATAATAGTAAAATTATATTTCAGATATTTGAAATATTTATTTTAGATAGGAAGAATGTTATTTTAGATATCTGAAAAGTTCATTCTGACTAGGAAGAAATGCATTTGAGACATCTGTATTACATATTCAGGCAAGTTAATAATCGTCAAAACGGCTTGCCATAAGATCTTGATTTTCTTCTTAACTGCCAAAGCTTTCCCTGATCATCACAATGTTTCCAACACTGGCTTGAATTCAAAGTATTTTTTTAAATGTTGCTCGCTGTAACTGCTATATCTCCACACCCATGTTTAGCTAAATGTGCCAGGCTATCATAGAAATGCCTCTGTTTGTCAGTTCATAGTTTGTAGAATGCCACAAAGTGTTTTTTTTATTTAGCCATGGTGATATGTTGCAGCTGCTGGCTCAAAACTGTTTGATTAAATTATACAGAAAATAGTTTTCAAATCGAAATCTCTGACCTGAGACATGTAACATGTCTTACATGTAAATTTTGATTTTGTGCTTGTACCTTAAATGAAAGCTGGGTCAATGTCAAACAGGTGAAAAACAGGGTCCATGTTGAGAGGTGACCTGACAAGGTGCAACTTTAAAATAGGTTCTTTAATATATACTGAGACACACTGTGTGCCTTGAAGTCATAAATGGACGGATCTCAAAGTTATGGGTTTTTTGCTGTCACAGCGCCCACTGTCGCCATAGGCTGTGGGCTACCTGACAGTGGCGACTAACAAAGATGGCGCAGGCACCGTGCGGTGGAGGAGGAGTTACGTGAACAACTGGGAGCAAAAAGCAGTGATCATCTATCTGAAAGGTCAGTTAACTGAGTTAACTATAAAGTCTACTATAGAGTCCCTGCTGTATATAGTGGATTTAGGGGTTAGGATGGACGTTCGGACACAGTAAGCTTGTATGAGCTATAAGAACAGCAACTTTTTAAAAGTGCGTGCACAAGGAGAAATGGGCTTGTGCATGCTCTTGCATGAGTTTAACGGGCATTCCCTCTCGGGAGCTGGTACAGGGTTCGGCATATGCATTTTTTTAAGTGGAGAGGGTCCCAGAAATCCTCTACAGTATCTTTAATAGTTCCTGTGCTGCTCTCCAACAGCAACACAGAGACAAACAGGACAAATAACCATTCACTCACACCTCTAGAGATCTAGAGAAGCCAATTAATCTAACAGCTATGTTTTTGGACTGTGGGAGGAAGCCGGAGTTCCCGGAGAGAACCCACGCGTGCTCAGGGAGAACATGCAAACTCCATGTAGAAAGTCCCTGGGCTGGGAATCAAACCAGTAACCTTCTTGCTGCACGACAGCAGTGCTACCCACTGCTCCAATGAGCAGCCTAGAAAGATATCATTTTGAAAATTGGTAGCACTAACGTACCAACGCATCCTAGTAATTTTATTTATGCAAGTGTACTTTCCTCCGAGATCCGTCAACATTGATGGCAGGGCGTTAGGAACAGCTTGTTGAAAACATGTACTTAGTGACTAGTAGAACAGGGAAGTCCATGCAAAAAACATGACCTGTGCAAAAATATAACAATGNCTCATCTACCAGATCCCATCATCATGAAGGTTGCTCATATCTACCTGCTCTGCATCCTGGGAGCCGCCCTGCTGTCTACAGTCCTCTGCAACAGTAAGGATGTTGAGGTTTATTTTACTTAGAGATGCCACTTCTCCACTCAGCTGATATTAAATTACCTAACGCTGTTATTTTCAGGTGGAAATGCTGCTGATATGTGCTGCTTTGAATACTTTCCAAGTCCCATAAACAGTGAGCTGATCTCTTCGTATTTCAAGACTGGTCCTCGGTGCCACTTGAATGCAGTTGTGTAAGTACCAGAACCTTATTTTCTTTCATTCTCTGTTAGATAGTAATTTGTTCTTTTTTGTGTGTTAAATTTGTAGTTCATTAAAAATCATTTCTATTTGGCAAACACTATATATTTTTTTCCTTTCAGCTTAATAACAAAACGATCCCGCCGCATCTGTGTGAACCCAGAGCAGCGCTGGGTGGTGAAGATGATCAATTACCTGGAGAGTCAGTCCCTGGTCTAGAGATCTAGAAGCTGCCTACCGTTCTGCTTTATCAGATCATGTTAAGTACATGTAGCAATGCGAGCATCATTTCGGTATCAGTGCTTTTAAGTTTCTGATTTTGCTTCCAACATGTAAACTTTTTTTTTTTTTTTTTTTGTAATAATTTGTTCTAAAAGCTTTGTACAACACATATTCTACAGTGGTGATTTCAACCAGGAGGAATTTATGTTGTGTTTTCTTTTTTTTTTTTTGATCTTTTTAATTTCAATAAAATATCATCATTAGCATTTGTGTTTTGGCTGATTTTTAAATAATAAATGCAACTTTTATAAAAATGATTCTGATTGCTTAATATTAAAAATGAAGTCTCAAGTAAGAGGAGTTTAGTAGTGAGATTGTAACTACTTTTCAAATGCATAAAGTTACATTGCAAATAACAGATTTACTTTCGTTAATCCTGAATAATAATGTTGGGGCTTTACTGGTTTTCTTGACCTAACGCTTATGGAGGGTCCAATTGCAATGCATATCTAACCAAATCAGTTTACTTAATTAGAACCATTTTAGAACAAATGGCATTTCAAGGCACTTCACAGACTTATTTCAATCTAATCATACAGACAGACAACGGTTTTCTAAGTGTGGCAAGGTGCACAACAGAGGGCCATTTTGGGATTTGGACCCGCAAGGGACCTGAGCGATCACCATGCACACTGACTAGTCAGGCAAACCCCCTGGCCAAGTAGCCTGGCCACATGATCAGTTAGAGGCCTGCAGGTGGTGACAGTGAGGAGAAAAACTCCCTTTTAACAGGAGGAAGCCTCCAGCAGAACATGGCTTAATGTTAGCAGCCATCTGCCAGAACCAACAGGGTGGCTGAGAAGACAGTACAGAGTCAAACACATGAAAACAGCACAGAAGAACCAGGAATACTTTAGGTAAGAGAAAAAAGTAAAACATTAACTGTAATAGTATTGTAGCTCCTGGTGTAGCTTCATCTAGGTGATAAAAACGGCTAAGCAGATAAACTAAGGCAGAATTTTTGTCTATGATCTACACAATAAGTCACCAGAAACACAGCTAATAATCCTCTGCAGGAAGGATTCACAAATGAACAGAAAGCTAGGAGAGATCTAGCTTCTGTGGAGAGAGAGAAGATAAAACTAAATCAGAGTTTAAGGTGAGGTCACATAGATCTGTATTCTGACATCATGTTGTGTTTCCCCCCAAACTCTCCACTGTTTAAAACAGGACTGCTGGATCAGAGCTGCCTAAACTATAAAAAAGA